TCCAGTAGAACTTTTTATTGCCTACCAGGAGTGGGTGACAATAGTTGAATAAACTTATGGCTCTCCAAATGGTATCGGTGCTCTATTGGTTGGTACTCGCCGATACCGATACCACCATTTTAGGGCAGTATTGGGGCCCCATCCGATACTGGTATCGGTATCGGTGCAACACTAGTTAAGAGTCATCCAGGTTTTTATGTCTTCAAGACATGCCTGTAATCTATGTAATGGGTTAGCTTCATCTGGATTTATAGACAGATATAGCTGGGTATCATCAGCATAACAGTGGAAATTAATCCCATGCCGTCTAATAACCCCACCGATTGGGAGCATATATATATAGTAAAGAGAATTGGTCCTAGCACTGATCCCTGTGGTACTCCACAGGTAATCTTTGATTATGAGGAAGATTTATCATTAACGTGAAAAAACGGAAACCGATCAGATAGATAAGATTTAAACCACTCTAGTGCTGTTCCTTTAATTCCTACAAAATATTCAAGTATTTCTAAAAGAATATTTTGATAAACTGTATCAAATGAAGCACTGAGATCTAACAGGACAAGTACAAGTACATACAAGTACATACAAGTCCATTATGTGAGGCCATAAGACAGTTTCTTAAGCAAAGGTTTAATTACAGCAACCTTAAAAGCCTTTGGTACATATCCCTGTAACAGAGATAGATTAATCACATCTACAATGGAGGAGGAGATCAAAGGGAATACCTCCTTGAATAACCTGGTTGGAACTGGATCTAACATCCAAGTTGAAGGCTTAGATGAAGACAATAATTTTGCTAACTCTGAAAGTTCAACTGTATCAAAGCAGTCTAAACACGGTTCAGATTCCATGACTACCTCAGATGCTGCCCCACCCTCCAGATACAAACCAATCGCGAATAGAGGAGTGCTAATGATCTTATTTTTTAAGAATCCCATAAAATCATTACCTCTAAGAGCAGGTGGAATGGATGGTTCAACTAAGCTATGGCTCTGGGTGAGTCTGGAAACTGTATTAAAAGAAATCTAGGATTATTCTTATTCTCCTCTATTAATGAGGAGAAGTATGCTGCTCTTGCTTTACAGAGGGTCCTCTTATACAGCAGTAAACCATTTTTCCAGACTAGGTAGGATTCTTGTAGGCCATTGAGGCGCAATTTTCTCCCCAGTTTTCTAGCATTTTGCTTCAAAGTGCACAGCATGCATTAAACCAAGGAGCCAGATTTCTATTTTTAACGGTTTTCATTTTCAAAGGGGCTGCGTTGTGTAAGGCAGTACGCAGAGAACTAGTAACCCCATCAACAAAATCATCAACCTGTGAAGGGAAATAAGCTATGCTTTTGCACTCTGCAGCACTGCTCAGCGACACAGAGGAGAGAGAAAGTGAAACAGATTCTTTATAATTTGTAACTGCACCATCTGATAATGATCTGCGAAAGTGGAACCTACTTTTGGGGGGGAGAACTCTGGTACAGTAATCCTGTAGGTTATTAAAAAAGTGGTCAGAAAAGACAAGGGCTGCGAGGAAATACTGTTTCTTTCACATTCTTTGCCATATGTCAGCACAAGATCCAAAGTATGAAGATGAGAATGTGTGTGACTATTCACATTTTGAACAAAGCCAATAGCATCTAAGTTACGGTAGCATTAAAGGCTGCTCTTAAGCTATGTTAAAATCTCCCACTATGATGACCCTGTCAGTATTTAATACCAAATCAGAAAGGAACTCTGAAAACTCATCTAAAAATTCAAAGTAAGGACCTGGTGGACGATACAAAGTTACAAGAAGAAATGGTTTTCTTGCTTTGCAATTTGGTTGAGTGAAATTAAGGGTTAAATGTTCAAAAGAGTTGTAATTATTAACTGCCTTTGGAGTAATCATTAAGTCAGACTAAAATATTGTTGCTACTCCTCCTCCTCACCCAGAACTTCTGGATTTGTGAAAATTTAAATAACTAGAAGGAGTTGCCTCATTTATGCTTACATAATGCTTTTGCTGCAGCCAAGTTTCTGTATGGCAACATAAATTAATGTGATTATCAAAAATACTGTTCAAAAAATGATAAATTTTTTCAATTAAGAGTTTTCATTTAAATGTGCTTTACTGGAGGCATCCATGTTTGTCAAAGAACACTACTGCCACCTACTGGTTTGTGATGTCACGGTGCGGTATCAGCTGTTGATCAAGTCCCAGTGCTGTATCTGGTGTTTGTCACAACGCGCTATTATCCAAGTCATCTTGAAAACATTCTTCTTCCAAATGTTGGCTAAATATTACGGGTTTTTTCTCTGGCCAGAAGTTCGATGGCAAATCCTCCCTCTTCAAGTTGGCGATCCAACGACCAACCCGTCCGTGGAGGATCAGGAATCGGAAAGGTGAAATTACACATTTTTCTTTTCATTTTTATCCAATTTATTACAACATCCAGCTGCCATGCAGTATTCAGTATTCATTTCAAGGGTCAAACCATATAACCAACAAGATACTTTCATCTTGTTTATCTCCTTGAGATAATCCTGTTAGTCTTGTTAAAAAACGACAAAACACAAAGAACTTTAGCTAGATTTCTTTTTTTGGTTTTGGCATGTCAAAATAAAACTTTAAAAAGTCAACAGCTGTTAGACATTCAAGTACAGCTGTTTTTTCATATGAGTTTAGATGGAATAAAATGCTTGAGGCTCTAAACAAACAGGTCTATTTCTTTCAAAATCTAGAATAAAAATTACAAATAAGAGCTTAAACTTAAACCCAACAGAAACTGACACAACCACTGAAGAAATTGTTGTCATCTTACATTTTAGTCAACCAACCAGGCAAAACTTACCGCATGAATACTTTTGGATCGAATTTCAGCGTTCTTTTCAAAAAATGAAAAGAAATTATATAGAGATTAAAACATCTTAGTTTGATATAAAAAAAAAATCTCACTGTACTGCTGTACAAATATATATATTCAACTTAAATATAACTTTATAATAAACTATCCAAGCCTATTTTGGGGAACTCAGTACTTGAGTGATGCAGGACAAAAATCTTTGCACATACTGTATATATAAATATGGGTTCTGGAAATGTAAAATGACAACAAATTCTCTCAGAGTCTGTGATGTTTAATAAGTAGATAAAATGTGTGACAAATGAAAATCATTGGGATTTTCTTATATTAATAAAGTTTCTACAATTATCTCTAAGGAAATAAATTGAATAGAGTGACTACATACATTGCTTCAACATAAATTTCCAAATCTATAAAAGAAGCCTCTCAGATTCTCTGTGAGTTCAATGAACAAATGAGTGAAGTACAGCACTTGTTCTTGCTGTAAATTGAAAGTTGTTTATAAGGCCACTAATATTCGAGGAGGATAAATTATGCTACTGCAGTATGCTGGTGAAGATTCTTAGTCATTCAGGTCATAGTCATTCCAAAAAAAATAAAAAATATAATCCACTGGACTTTGTTTTTCCAGGTTTGAAGACGTTTCTCTTCCATCCAGGAAGCTTTTTCAATTAAAAATGTCAGAAATAGCGTTGAGTTGGAGGCTTTATATGGTAGTCCAACAAAGCCTTGTTTTTGTTTAGAAACATGCAAATTGAAAACCCCCTCGCCTATTTGGCCAAGACAGCAATTCCCTTTAACGACCCCCCTTTCAGATACATAGACAGGTATGGGGCATTGCACGCTAACAAAATAAGCCCCATCCCAAAGGGATGGACCCGTTCATCCGTTGCAATTTGGATGTTTTTTAAACAAAAACCAGGCCTTGTTGGACTACTGTACGAAGCCTTTAAACTCAATGCTATTGCTGACATTTTGTACTGAAAAACCTTCCTGGATGGAAAGCGAAACGTCTTCAAGCTTGGAAACAAAGTCCATAGGATTGTTCTTTAACTTTTTTTGGTATGCTACTGCAGGTTTATTCTAGGAATAGAATAGAAATCTGAAGATCTGGTTGTGTGCTTTGTATAAAAAGGGTTTTCTAAAAGTAAAAAATGTGAACTGTAAAACATAACTGGGAAATCCATTGGTTTTAGTTAAAGCTGCATTTTTGTCTTTTTCCAAATCCATTTTTGTTTTAGGCCAAAGGCCAAAACTTGGCCAAAATGGCACAATGTAAAGCTTTAGAGAGCAAGTAGTTACATCAGCAAGTTTTAAAAAAAAACATACAGCAGGAGAATTAAAGCTTTTTCAACAGTGGTCACTTTCTACTTTTCTAAAATCTTCTAACTTTTTATAGATATTTTACTCATTTTCTTTCACTATCTGGTTCTTTATGTCAAAATGTGAGTTAAATCTGAAAAAAAAAAAAAAATCTTAAATTATCTCCAATTCTGGAAAACTTACAAAGTAACTCTACAAGGTTAAAGCTGGGTTACAACAAAACATTAAATATTACAAAATAAAATGAAGAATCACAAATCTTTAAAAGAAAACATACATTCCTTTAAAGATATTCGTTTTACAAAAAAACACACACACAAAAAAAAGACAAATTTGAAGTGTACACAGAAAAGAACCATTTCAAAAACAAGAAACATGTTTCTCATTTAAACGACTAGTTGAACCTCTACGACTCTTTGAACTACAAACACACATGGAGTTTTTGGGTTATATACCATAAATTCACTTTTTGGTTTCACATTGGTATATCAGCTTCTTTAGTTAACAAATGAAATAATGAAAACAGGCCTAATTTCCAACGTTCTGCTGAGCCTCAGACACATAAATGGCAAGATTAAACCCTAAAGCTTTTAAAAGCTTCTTATCGAGCATGCAGTCCATTTAAAAGAATATTAGGTTTTTAAAGCAATACTTGACTTCATATATTACAAATGCCAAGCAAGGACATTGATACTGTATGTATAAGTGTAGAAAGAATTTATTTGGTTTAGCTTTCTTTGGTAAACTACCAAAACCTGTTTTTAGAAACAGCCCATTCTGCAATTATGTTGCCCTCAGGGTTTATCTATGTGAACCATCCATGCATACTTTTGTTCTCGTATGCAACAACTTGTGCTTTGGCCAGCAAAACGTGTTAAAGGAATTAATTTGGAATGGCAAAACTGTTTTTTGGTTGCATGTTTTTAAGGATAAACAATTATTTGGCAAAAATTCAACTACTTTCCAACACAAACCTTCCTTCTGCGTTGAAAGGGTTTTTAAAACTATACAATAAGCATTTGGTCATTCTTAAGAAAGAAAATTAAATCACAAAAATACATTTTCCACATTTCTGGGTTAAGCCGAAGAAGAAAAAAAAACATCAAAAAGTTTTTAAATTATTCCAGAAGAAATCAAAAGCAGGGTTCACTTGTTTTAGGTTCTACAAGAACCTGTAACTGAAAGGAAATTAATACATGTGATGTAGAATGAACGTAACGTAAAGAAAACCAACCAATAGTTTACATCTTTGGATATCTTTCAGCTTGGTTTTCATAGATCTTTTTTGGAAAGGCTTTCCTGGTGTTTAATGCATTCAGGTCCATTTCACCGTGAAACTTCACTTAGTCACTGAAGTTCATGGTAGGCCTCTTGGTATCAGTACAGAATATTGGTGGAAAAATGAAGTGATTTTTAAACGTTTCACAGAGCACTACTGGCAATCCATATTTCCCATGAAATGAGACAGCTGATGATGCCTTTAAATAAAGAGGTTTAAAAAGACAGACATCTTTCCTTCACGGTAAGGAGGCAGAGGAAACATCAGGTTGTATCTTCTGGTGCAATAAGGCTTTGGGCTTTTTCAGGAAACACTCCAACAATGTTTGGTCTCCATGGCAATCATTCACTCTGGGCAGGATTGGTCAGTGACTGGCATGGTACAGTGACTGGCACTTGTCAAAATGAACTTTTAAAAATATAGATTCATTTGGTAGGTTAGCTAACAGAAGCAGCATTATTAGGATTACCATAAAGCACTGTATCAGACTGAGGTAGCTATCTTTGGAGAAAATCTTCCAATCCTTCTAACCTGACTTTTGGGTTCAACGAATCAACATTTTCTAGTTTGGATACTTTTCTTATTTTCTTAAAAAGCTTTTATCAGTCGAACCTTCTTAGAAGATGTTTGCAGAGGCTGACATCTTTTTTAGTTGAAAGGACAAAATGTTGCAACAAACACAAAATATGTTCTCAGTCATATAACAAAATAAAGTTTAGGCTTCAATCCGTAGTGCACATCCTGACGTGTCCAATTTCCCACCAAAAATTTGGAGGATAAAATATTTTGGTTATGGAACAAGCTCTTAGTGAAAAATTGACATGTCTTTGGTGTGAATACAAAACTAATGCTGTCCTGATCAGGAGAATGTTTCTCAGCACACATGCAAGCAGTAGGATATAGAAATACATGTGCAATAAAGGCCATGAAGGCGATACGCTTTGGTTTGAGGTAGGGGAGGAGGTTGGTCTCAGGGTAGTAACTCACCGGGATCGATCTTATTCCACAAGCCAACACTCTAGCACTAGCAGTGGGTTTTAGTGAATATATACCAGCTTAAAAACGGGAGTGGAGGGACAAGTTGGAAATAAGGTTAAGTGATAATATTGACCAATGTCAGCCAGTTCCCATGCCAGACACGCCAGATGGATGCTGCTCAATGATGACTTGGCAACGTGCAGGACACACCATCTGTTGGGAGGGAGAGTCACAGATCGCAAAAGTCAAGAAAACACAATCGCTTAACAGGAATTATATGAATCTTACAGTCATTTCAGTCAGTCATAAAATACTCATAAAATCATTTCACACAATCGATCATTCAGATCGGGAAAAACAATAGCAGCTAGAAAAGGATTTTATCGTATTAAAGTGGTTTTCCTTTTTTGTGCACCTCTGAGAAAGACACTAAAGGCTGGTTCACATTTTGAAATTTTAAACAAATTAAACCAGAACATTTAGCTGTCAGACAGGAAATCTCATCATACATTCATGTATGTGTCTCTACATGTTCTACTGCTTCTGCTACCATTATTCACAAGGTATGAATAAACACAAAGCAGGCAGCATTAAAACAGCTGTGACATGAATTAAAGTTATTATTTATATTTTATAATTTAGTAACTCTTAATGAGTGAATTCGTCCAAGTATGACGGGATAATAGCTTTTGTTTTGCACCGAGGCAGCCTAAAATGAACTAGACACCAATGGAGGTTGCTTTGGAGGTTTTGCTGTGGTGGAAAGAAAAATTATCCTGAATCTCACACTGATAGTGAGTGATGTGCTTGTTACAGCGGCATCAGGTGCAGCTAGTGAGAAAAACTTAACGCAGGCAGTGACCATGCAGGTCTGCACATTATTTAAAGGTTAAAAATACTAATTCATTGGCAGATCGTCTTATTTTCTTAGTCAAATTAAGGTTAAATACACTTATTTTAAGACATTTTTACTGAGTTTCAGAACGTTTTTGTAGTGTAGTATATTGTGCCAAGACAATCCAACGTGTTAGATTTGCCTTATTTGCGATGGGGGGGGGGTGTCGACATTATTCGGAGCAGATCCAACAGGAAATAGATTAGAGCAGGAACTGCACAATAATCTTGTGATATAAACCTGCCTTAAGCTTCAAGATTCTTCCTGATCTTCACATTTCAGTGTTTGAATGTGACTGGGTAGGACAGTAGGAACAGAATAGTGATATAGAAAATAAGTCAATTTGTCATTTTAGTAAAGTTCGCAGTTCGTTATCCGTTCCTTTGTGGTATATTCTGGTTCATACAGGTATCCTCAGATCTCCCCCCATTAAAATCAAACTTATATTTTATGTTATCAAACAATCATTTTAACTGCTTCTACATTTTGTGTTTGTTTTGTTTTTGAGAGAAAAAACCTGCCATCTCATTAGACACAACTTCCAGTCATCCCTATGATGTTGACCACTTTAGAAAAACAGTGAACAAATTCATTTTCCTTTTTAAAAAGCTCAGTTCTGACAGATCAGGGGCTTTAATCCTAACCATTACCCTTCCTTTGGTTTCACTGTAAATTCATTTTGATTAAATTTCTCTATGACAGGTAAAGTGCCACTTTAGACTCCACCTGCTCTTTATACTGTAATTATCAGTGCATGGTTGCAGATGCCTTTACAAAGCTGAACCCCAATAGAGTTATGCAGGACAACAGTCAGGTCTTCCTGCAAAGAGAAATTTGGGATGGAATTTCAGAACTCTGTTAAAGTTAGAGCCTGAACATCTACTGACTGTGGTTTGCCTCTTCTCCACACAACCAAAAACATCCTATAACTTATAAACATAAATTATAAGAAATGCAAGGGGCTTAGAGAGCCTCTGGAATATTAGCTGTGATTTTTATAAATGACTTTTCAATAGTAATGAAGCGAGATGGACAAATAGTTCATATTTTTTTAGGAGGGAAAATGTGGCTGTTTGCCATACGCTTAAAAAAACGAGTAATTAAATTGTTTTTTTGTACATGACTAAAGGGATACACATTCATTAAGGTAGTTTAAAGTTAAAATAAATATATAAACTAAAGGGTCAAAATAAATATATAAACTAAAGGGATAAACGGGTATTGACTATGGGTATGCTCATCTGACAGGACACTGGCTAAGTCACACTCTAGGAGGTGGTTTATAGGTGATACTGTTCAAAACTCCAAGAAGTTGAATGTGGTTGGTTCTTCTCATGTATAAATGTATTGAGAAATGTTTAAAAAAAGCACCTGTGCTTCAGACTCCACCTGTGGGTAGTTTGCTCCTTCTTTAGGGCTGTTGTTTTGTCCTGCATGGATCCTTGGTACTGGCCAGTTGTTCTGAGTCCCTTTACTGCAAAAAAAACTGCAAATCAAAACAGAAAGAATTATACACAAATAACCACAAATTAAAAACTAAAAAGGGCGATTTATCCCAGTGTTTTCTAGTCCAGCTCAGATTCAGCTTTATTCAGTTTAGAGGGCTACAGCTGCCAATACTGTCTGATGTGGGCCTTAGATAAATAAACTGAATATAATGTAAAATATGAACGACTACAATTGAATAACAGTAAACAATGGTCATAATAAAATTGTTTTATCCTTTTCCTGACTAACAGATGGCAGTCGTAGTGCTTCTCTCCATGACTGTCTGTTGTTTTGCTCTTTGCAATAATTCTTTTCCAACAGAAGATTTGCTAAACAACACACAGTTCATCTCTATGCCCTCCTTTGCTCAGTTTTTCATCAATCCAATCAGTATTTCTGAGATCTTGGTTGGAGGTCAGATGATCTCTGTAGGATTTACCAGAGATGCAGACTAAGTAGACAGGCAAGCGTGCTTTTTTAAACTTGGAGGACCTATGCCTGCTTCTCAGCACAAGTAACATTTTAATTCACTTTAATCAAAACGCAGCTTGCCTTTTAAAGATGATTCTTTTTATACAAGTTTTTACAACAAGTGGAAGTAATAACTGTACAGAACAGACGAAAAGAATAAAATGCGTGTTTGGGCTCACCTGCGACGGTATCCAAACATGAGGAAGAGGACACAGAAGATGATGCAGGCCGTGCCAATATGGATGCCAATAACGATGCTGCCCAAAGAGGTTTCAGAATCCCTGCACTGACATAAACTGTTGCCTCCTTTCACAAAGCCAAGTAAAAGGAAGATGTGTATTAAACATTTTTATTTTATTAAACATTTTATAGTGTGTAAAACAGTGTTAAAAGCTGTTGCATCCTCTGATGGAAGACTTACCACTGATCTGATCACTTATGCCTTGCTCTGCCAGCGACACCAACCTCTTGGTGCCGTCGCTCTCTCCGTTTCCGTTGTAGGCCACCAGTTTGATTTCGTACACAGCTCCCGATTCTGAAGGGAGTTATGCGTTAGTTATAGTTTTATTAAAAAGGGAAAAATATTTTGACTTACTGCTACAAAACATGTTAACCTGAATTAACATGATATTCATCCAGTGCTTGCAGAAATATACACACATGTTCATAACATCAATGTCTGGTTTAAGTGTTTGCATGCTGGTTTTGTTGGATTCCTGCTGGTTCCTGTTTTTGTTTAGTTCAGTGTTTTTTAATGTTATGGTTTTGGTTGCATAGTTTCTTAAATCCTTTCAATTTCAATAATTTTTCTAAGGTGATCTGAAAATCAAAGAATGACTTAATGAGTGACAGTAGTACTTGAGTAAAAGTATTGATACTCAAAGTCAAATCTTAGTCACTACAATAAAAAGTTACTTGATCAAACATCTACTCAAGTTAAAGTATTGAAGTTCTCACTTTTGAAAATACTTAAGTATTCAAAAGTACATGCATTTATATCATTAAATTTCCGTATAATTTTCAAAGTAATTTAAAAACCCAATTGGATCATATTTGATACATGACTTTTTCAGACCTCTGCATCATCACTTTGATATTTGTATTCTTGAAAAGCCTGACTTACACAATAAAACACACGTAGTGAACAGAAAATGTATAAAAGATTATACAGAAACGCCTAGTGTATCAAATTTGATGCAAATAAATGATCTAATTTAACTTAAACAAATTGGTTATGATGTAATTTGACAGAAAGTTCAACGACAACTCTTATAATTTTCTGGAAATTATTTGATGGTGGTGTTCAAATCCAGCCCTAAGGGCTGCTATCTGATATGATGAAATTGCATTTCAAGAAAGAAAAACAGCAACAACTGATTAGAGATCTAAGCTTTTTTAAATGGAGTGAAGTTTTTAAGTACTCTCCCAAAAAAATGACTCAAGTACAGTAAAGATAGTCCAAAACTTACTTATGTACAATAATCAAGTAAATGTACTTTACTTTTGAACTTTATTCATCTCACATTGGTAAAATTTGTATTTTTATTTAACTGTATTTAACCTATCCCTAGTGGGCTGCCATCGTGAGGAGCTTGGGGAGCAGTGTGGGGTTAAGGGTCTTGCTCAGGGACCCAGAGTGGCAGTCTGTGGGAGTGGGGGATCGAACTCACAACCTCAGGATTCCAAGTTCTGAGCCCCACCCACTAGTCTGCCCCTCCCCTTGCCAGTGTATAAGCCCCTTAGTTTAATAATTCCAAGCCAAGTCACTTTATAAGACATTATCTAGTCAAATCTGAAAAAACTTAGATTACATGATCTCATTTTATATCACAATAATTGGTTCATAATAAATTAAAGTGATGGATTCATGTTTCACTTTATGCACAGTCAGCAAGACATTTGTAAGATGAGGTCAAACTATCGTTGTTGCATACTTACTCACATACCTTCTATATTAAAACATATTCAAAATGATACATTATACTATAAGACGATACGATAACAAAAGTTGTGAACTAAGGGTTTTCATGTAAATAAAATGTTTAACTAATTGAGCTTTGCAGTTTCAATCATTCAATAGGCCAACTTTGGTATGTAGACAAGTTGAAGCTCATCCATGTGGGAATTACCATTAAAGAGGCTAAATGGATTAATTTTTATCAGTGTTTGCTTTAAATGCAAAATGATGTCTTCATAACTGAGTTAGAGTTATAACTGAATAACTGAATAACTGAAAAAAGCAGCTAAATAGTTTCTCTTGAAATCATTTTGAGTCCAGGAAATGTAGGGGTTTAGGAAATAAATACCCTGCTATCTAATCACGAGGCCTCCATAAATATAAGATTAATAGACTTTTTAAAATTATTCCAAGAAAATCAAGCTGATTTTTTTTATCTGACTCAAAATTCAAAGCTCCTCTGTAGCAACATACCTAAATATAGAGATCATTTTCGGTTCAGAGTCTCATGATTCTGCCCTTTCTGGACCTTTTGGTTCTGCTTAGGTTTCCTTTTTAGGTTTTTACACTTTCATATCATTCAGTATTTTCTGGGTTATGTAACTCCGGCTTTTAAGGTCTAAAATTCTTGAGAAAGTAGTTGCCAAACAAGTGTGCGATCACTTCCACCATAATGAACTTTTTGAAGAGTTTCAGTCTGGCTTTAGAGCTCATCATAGCACTGAAACAGCTCTGGTGAAAGTCACTAATGATATTCTCATGGCCTCAGATAATGGACTTGTATCTGTGCTCGTCCTTTTGGATCTTAGTGCTGCATTTGATCCAGTTGACCATAATATTCTTTTAGAAAGACTTGAATATTTTGTTGGAATTAAAGGAACAGCACTAGACTGGTTTAAATCTTATCTATCTGATCGAATTCAGTTTGTTCACGTTAATGAAAAATCTTCCTCATGCTCAAAGGTTACCTGTGGAGTACCACAGGAATCAGTGCTAGGACCAATTCTCTTTACTTTATACATGCTCCCAATCAGTAGAGTTATTAGACAGCAGGGGATTAATTTTCACTGTTATGCTACCCAGCTATATCTGTCTATAATCCAGATGAAGCTAACCCATTACATAGATTACAGGCATGTCTTGAAGACATAAAAACCTGGATGACTCTTAACTTTCTGCTTCTGAATGCAGACAAAACAGAAGCTGATTAGCCAGTCACTTTATTTGGATGAGATTAAACTGATTTCAGATAATAAAGTAAAAAATCTTGGTGTTGTTGTTTTTTTTTTTTATCAGGACCTGTCATTTAAATCCCATATCAAAGGGGTTTCTAGAATTTCCTTCTTTCATCTGAGGAATATTGCAAAAATGAGAATTCTCCTGTCCAGGGGTGATGCTGAGAAACTAGTCCATGCATTTGTTACTTCAAGGCTGGACTATTGTAATTCTTTCAGGAAGTCCACAAACTGTAGTTAAAAGCCTTCAGCTGATCCAAAATGCTGCAGCCAGAGTTCTGATGAAAATGAAAAAGAGAGATCATATCTCTCCTATCCTGGCTTCTCTTCATTGGCTTCCTGTTAAATCCAGAATAGAATTTAAAATCCTCCTTCTCACATATAAAGCCTTAAATGGCCAAGCTCCATCTGATATCAGAGATCTGATTGTTCCTTATGTTCCTAACAGAGCACTTCGCTCTCAATCTGCAGGTTTACTAGTGGTTCATAGAACTTCTAAAAGTAGAATGGGAGGCAGATCTTTTAGTTATCAGGCTCCTCTCCTGTGGAACCAACTACCAATTTCAGGCAGGTTCAAAGTTAGCTTAGCACATACCTTACATTAAAAGTGTAATACTGTTATTGTTATGATAAAACTTTCCCCAGAGGTCCTGCCATGTCATTTTGAAGGATAAATAGTTAAAGGAAAACCTATTGACCTAAAGGTGTAATAGAATACCATAAATAGGGCAAACAGCCTTACCAAGGTCTGATATGGTGTGACTGCTGGCATAAAAAGGCAGTTCAACAGGCTCCTGGTAGTCAGTGTGGGGGACTCTGCGAAAAGACAGCCGGAATCCCTCGACTTTCCCCGGCTTCCCTGGGAGCTCCCACAGGACTTGGACGGTAGTGGAGTTCAGCACCTTGGTGAAGTAAGTGGGTGGGGAGGGTACTGGATAAACAGAGAAAAGTCAGAGCAAAATCAAAATCCCAAAGTGGCCTTAAAGGAGGTTGTGATTATATGTTTAGTGCAGCAGGAAAAAATGCAAATATATTATTCTGATGTAGAATCAACAAGAGTCATTGTATAGGAACCTCTGCTGCAATTCATGTCTTTATTCTAAACACTTTTTCCCCATCAGTCACTGTTGGCTGCGAGAGAAAAATGTTTGCTCACCAGGGCTGGGCAATGAATTACATTTGCAATTTAAAATTTTTTTTAAAAATGCTATTTTTCAAACCGCAGAGTCAGTCACAATACATTTAAGAGTAAGGGACTAATTTTCTCGTTCCAGCCCTTTAGGTGGCAGTAATACAATTCAACTGTGTATGCTGCCGCCAAGAAGGGAAGACAGAGTTGTAGCCACTAATCTCTATTTGTTCATTAGGTTGCTCACAGACCGAAAAAACTGAAATCACCTTCAGCCATCTTGGTACTCCCCACTTTCACAGAGACCTGCCATAAAAATGCCTTCAATGTCATGTAATTACCATAACAATGTTATCAGTACATTTATATAACATGTACATCATCAATTTAGCACTTTTGGCCCATCATCAGATCGTGTTTTTGTGTGTGTAATATTCTGCTCCATTAACACACTGATTATGTTGTGATGGATTTGTTTAATATGTGATATTACATGATTTATAGACTTCACGGACTTCCTACTGAATATGCAATATGATTTTTTACAATAAATGAAGTAGTCTGCAGGTGCTATCAAACAGCAAGTGTGTGTCAAAATGATGAATTTATCTTTATTTTAAAAGTCTTAAGCTGCCCTTAAAATGAGAAAATCATCACTGTTGATGCTGTAGTGCACTTATTGTTAACATTCTGACCGCTCTATCTAGGGAGTACCAATATGGCGGCAGGTGACTTCATAGCAACGTGAACTTCCTACGGCCTATCCATTGAATAAATAGATATCAGTGGTTGTAGCTAGCACCTAGATTAATGCATTCAGTAGAAGGAAGAACTTGTTTATGCAAATTTCACTGTAAAGTCTTGCAACACTGGACTTTGGACAAACAGGAGTTCAAGCTTATGGAAAAAATGAAACCCTGGAGTCAAACATCGACATGGTTGTGCTCAAAGGATTATTGCAATAAAATCGCAATCGCAATATTGGTCGAAAATAATCACATTTTTGGCAGTTTTATTGCTCACATGGATTCATAGGAGCAACTTTTTCTAGGATTTTTTAAATGAATCTTTAAAATCTCTGTCATAGAGAGCAAAGCCTGCTCCTACTTAAGACTTTAACATGTTTTGTAATAATAATATAATATTGTCTTGCAGACTAGCTCAGGGTGAATATGTGATTTTTGCTATTCATCATCATATCTATAGTTCTGCTGCTATAGGCTTAGACTGCTGGAGGACATGGGGACCCCTTTTTCATCATTCTGCTTCATTCTATCTCTATTCTCCCACTCTGCAGAATCTGTTAGTTCAATCTCTAACATTCTGCTCTCTCTGCTTTTTCTCATAGTAGCTTCATCTGGTCTGTTCCTGTTTGGCTGTGACTCCATCCTGGAGAGAAATATCAGCTGTGCTGCTGCCATCAACACCTTTGTTTATAGATGTTGGAGCTTGGCCTGTTTTTCAGTGTAGTCCTGTTTCTCTGACTGTGACTAACTGGATGTCCTCTCTTCATCCTCTGACATGGGAGTTGGCTAGGATATCTTCTGCATGGCTGTGTGTTTCCTGGACGGGGCCGCCTTTTACAGTTGCATTTTGTATCTATGCTTCTTTTTCTATGTCTGCTTCTGTCTCCTTGAACCCCAGTCGGCCTCAGCAGATGGCCGCTCACACTGAGCCTGGTTCTGCTGGAGGTTTCTTTCTGTTAAAGAAATTTTTTTTCTCCACTGTCGCTACAAGCATGCTTGGTGTGAGGGATTGCTTTCGAGTAAATTAGTCGATGTAATCAACTGGTTTTCCTTGGACAGAAAACTTTGAATCAATTTGACTGTATGATCTGGTTGAATTGTAAAGTGCCTTGAGATGACATGATGCGAATTGGCGCTATAGAAATAAACTGAATTGAATTGCTATTATCAAAGCACCCATGAAGGTTAGTTCACATAGTTCCAGAATATTCTTTGCTCATCAGCACCAAGTAGAGTTAGACCCTAAGCTTGGTAGTTGCAGAACTTTGATTATCTGGAAAATCCTTGGATGAAGTAAAACATAGAACTAATAATTTATTTTAACATAATTTTTTAGTTTAAATTGAAATTCTATTTGTTATTTTCATCTTTTAGGTATTACATTTCAGACCTACATAGGTCTGTGCATGCTCAGGATATCCAGTATAACACTTAGACTTTCCACATCAGTGAAAAACTGTTTACCATTTGTTCCCTATCAGGGTTTTATAGATGTGTAAATGAAGCAGAGGGAGCTAATGACTTACAGTAGAATTATTCATTTAAATACAGCAAAAACAACAAATAGTGTGCATTTGCATCCTCTAGAAGATGAGACCCAGCCAGGTCCTTCTGATCAAACTGTTTCATTACCGAACATCATCACCTCTACAGAACCATCCCTTTAATCAAAGAAAAGTTCCTTTAAAGTGCATGATGTTTCTCCAAATATTTTAATATATTCCAAGTCTTTTGAAAAGTAATTACTCTTTACTATATTTTGTGAATCCCCTTTTTTAAAGTCAATACAACATCCTGTTGCTTTAGTATTTTCCTTAGAGCACCAGTTTCATGAGGACTGTTAGGCCTTACCACTGCCTAGTGTGGTGGCGATTATGCTGTTGGACTGCTGGCTCGCCCCCAAAGCAGAGTAGGCCTTCAGGTAGAGAGAGTAGGTGGTGCTGGCCTCCAGGTTGGTCACATCATGTTGAAAAGTGTCTTTACTTATGGCTTCCTGCAGCTCCAGACGATCAGGCTCTATGAAAACATTTGAACATGAACACATTTAGATTTAAATTATAAAACATAGACTTCAGTTTCGAGCTTCTCAAGTTGTGTGCTTACCTCCCAGCTTACGGATGTGTAAGACATATCCGATGATGCTGTCAGTGATGCTGGTGGGTGGGTTACTCCATGTTATTCGTAGGGTGTTGGTGGACACAGCGCTGGCTGAGAGCCCTTGTGGGGCAGCAGGAAGGTCCTTAGCTTGAGCCACAGCCAGGCGGGCACTAGCCTGGTTAGTGCCGGCACTGTTCTCCGCAATGCACTGGTAGATGGCCTCGTCGTCTGAGCTTATACGGGTCAGCGCCAAAGTGCTGCAACACGACACACATGCATCAAAAAAGAGGAGTCTAACTCAGTATCAGTTAGACCTGAGCTCCAAAATACTTTTAAAGGATTTTCCACTGGTAAAGATGAGCAATACAGTACATATCTTTAAGTTACGTAGAGATTAGCAGTAAAGTTACTGGTTTATTTTATCCTCTATAATAAACCCTTCTTCATTTGGACTCCAACCTCTTTTCTTTTTGTCTTTACCTTCATCTTCTCTAATTCTCCTTAGATAGTTTATATAAGAATGTTGCACTTGCCCTGCCTTCCTTTACAGTAAATAAATAAACATTTCTGGACAGCACTACAATTGTTTACTTTAACTCAAAATGATAAAGAATAATAGCATTCACACTAAAGAAGAACACACAAGAAAATACCACCAACTCTGTGCCAATATCAACATACTGTATGAAGTTTGCAGAGAACTAAACATGCATTTATACTAATGTGCTCAAGTTTGATAGAGAAAATACTGTTGCAATAATCAGATTTAAAAATCAAAAACAGAACAAGTGAAGCCAAAATAAAAAAGTGTAGGAATAGGAAAGAATAGAAAATCCCTTTATTGTCCTGCAATGGGAAAATTGTGGCGTTACAGCAGTAAAACATTATAGCAAAATTGTTCACACAAATGTGGACCTTAAAAAATGTTTAAAATGAGAGAAAAAGTTCCTCCTTTGAATAAGTTCCCTATCTGCCATCATCCTCTTACCTGTTGTTATTTGTCAGCTTGACATTTTGTCCTGGGGTCAGAACTTTCCCATTCTTCAGCCAAATTAAGTGGGGATCAGGGACACCCTGGGCCACACATGTGAACACAGCACTGCCCCCTGCTGGTCTGGACACGGACTGCGGCCACTGGAGGAACTCAGGTGGAGCTTAAAGAGGTGAAGGGGAGAAGAGAGATTACACAAGGTGCAGAAAACATGAATAAAGTGGCTCACATGGTAGTGTTTTTTGTTATTTTAGGACATATTTCTACAATACATAATGATCGAAGTTGGTATATTTAAATAGAGAATCAAAAGCAAAACCTATATAAAGGGGAATGGCAAGAAAATAACAGAAGTTTAATTTGGTTTAGTTTAGTTTGTTTTTTTTCCACAGCTATCACTACGTCTCAGAGCTTTTCTGTTGTATAGCTGGTAAAGTTCTTGGTCAGCAAACAAGGGAACTTTGTTTCAGATCCATCCTCCTCTGCAATAAGCAGGAACAGCTGTGTTTTGGTGAAACTGTCAAACCAACCGTGCGGACCCCAGATCCTCAGAGGATCTATTATCAAAACTAGATCATCAATGATTCCTACTGAGAACAACAAATGGAAACTTTAAAATTGATTTAAGTGATACTATTATCAGTTATTAGTTGTTATTATTATTATACACATTTGTTAGTCCATGTGCAGTTAGAGTCAGTGTTTTTTATTTCCTCAGTTTATTAATTTTAGATATATATTTATCTTTATTGTCTCATAGCTCAACGTGTTTTATCCACAATTTAGTTATGGGTGCATTAATGTAAAATGTGTTGTGTAAGGAAAATGTCTTGATGGTAAGAAATATATTGCCGAGTTGGCAGTTTATAAGTTTGCATAAAAGCAAGTCTAAGAAAATGTTAAAAAAGAATAAAAAAGTCCAGAGAAACGAATTGCTTAAAACACTGCACTATAGAGAAAATAAAGGAAAACACAATTTGAAAAAACATAGAGTATCTACAGGCGACTGAAAACAAATAATGAGGACAGATATTTTACACTGGGACAAAATCTAAATCTAGATCAGTTAGTTTTTCTTTAAATAAGTACATTAGATCTTCAATTGAGGAGGTAAAACAGAAATTTTCCCAGTGGAACAGCACAAATTTCATTTAAAATAAGAAAACACAATTGCATTTTCTTATTTGAAGTGCATTTTATCTAAATATCTTATTTTAAGGCTAAAAATATTAATTCCACTGGCAAACTATCTTATTTACCAACTCAAATTAAGGGTAAATACACTTAATTTAAGACATTTTTATTTATTTCTAGATCATTTTTCCAGTGTACATGGTTTTATGGAAAAGTCAAATAATCAGATACTTTATAAATATATTTTTTTAGGAAAAACAGAAAGATAGCAATCTGCTATTGCAAACATTATGTTAGCCTTGCTTTAAATTATTATCATAATGTTAGGCGTGAACGCCCTGTTTTATTTTACAGAGATTATTTTCTTTGTGTTATTAGCCTCAGATTTTGAAGAGAAAATGAATGCAGGAACCATAATGGCCTTGATACGTGATGGTTGAAGTGTGTCTCTGAATTCCCAAAGGACAATCTGGTCCCTTTGTCCAACAAAGACACACCAGCTGATGCGGCCAATCAGAGCCGGACTGGAAGCAAGGAGTGCTCCCCCAATCACCCGCTTTAGGGTCAGCTGGGTGTTCCCCCTCTGGAAGGCAGCAGGCCTCGCCTACGAGGGTCAACCTTAGACCAGCTCTCTGCATGTCATTGATCTAATGACCCCTGCACAAAAATAAAGCCCCCTTGTATCCAGCTGGACATTCAGAGGCAAAAAACAGGTGAAATTAAATGATCATCTTTAATATCGATTAGTCCCTTTTTGTATTTTTTAATACACTGCAAAAATTATGATAAAATAAATACATTTAGTCTTAATTTGAGTAGGTAAATAAGATGATCTGCCAATGGAATGAGTATTTTTACTCTTCAAATAGGATAATTAGATAATATGCACTTTAAATAAGACAATGCAATTGTTTTTTCTTATTTTAAATGTAAATTGTCTTATTGCATTGGCAAAGTGTCTCTTTCATCCTAACTTCAAGAAAAGATGCACTTATTTTAAACAGACATATTGAGATTTAATGTTTTAGCAGCGTAAAAACCACTTCAGGAACCAAAACTATCGAAAAGGTAAAACTAGGGAATAAAACTGTTAGGTCTTTATAGGGTTAATACATTTATGAAAAATTTGGGCAATACATGAATGAATAAAATAAGTGCTTCTTAACATAAAGAATAGAAGAATAAGCATATCTTTTAAATACAAGGCTCAAGTGAGTTAAGGTCTAAAATAATTTTAAACTAATACACTGCAAAAGTGATCTACAATAAGTTAACATTTTATAAATTAAGTGTATTTACTCTTAATTTGATTAGGTAAATTAGATGGTTTTCCAATGACTATTTTTACTCTTAAAACAAGATAATATGCTCTCGAAATAAGACAATGCTATTTTTATTTCTTATTTTAAAGGTAACTAGTCTTGTTCCATTGCAAAGTGTTTCATTTACCTCCTCAGTTCATGAACAAATGCACTTATTTTAAGAAAAAAAATATAATTTTTGGATTTTTTTCCAACTTATAATACATTCCACTTTGAGCACCTTCCGTTTTCTGCATGTTTGTCAGGAAATAGACAGAGAAACAAACCATTCCTACTGGAATGACTGGATTTAACATGTCAGTAAATGAGCTTTTCTTGAGGAGGATGAGTTTTTTTAGAACATTCGCTGTTTCATAAAGTCCTCCCTATGCTGTTAGCAGAACTTCATTTTTGACTAGTCACATTTTCTGTTAGTCCAGCAGAAATGTGAATAAAAAATCAACAATGGAAGGACAGCATATCTTAGTGATGCTAAGCCAGCTGTCCACTGCTGTGGGTCACTGATGTGATCCATCTTCCTGCGGAGGACCAGCTCTCCTTTGTCCCTATCTGACTGTCCCAAGTGCACAGCCTCCTCCCACTCCATTGCCGTTTTCACTGACATAATCCCTCTCTCCAGGTCAGGGGTCAGAGGTTACAGGGCAATCTAAACCCCCATTCCTTTTCCTCTGCTACCCCCACTTGCATTGAAAATCTAGATATTCCCCTCTCTTTCTGCCTGTCCATATGTTGTTCTCTGCTCATGACAATGGACGTCTACTAGTGACTGAAGTAAAACTCACAACCTGGCAGACTCTGCAAACACCAGGCATCAGGAAACAGCTCTGTTCTGGAGTGCGCCTCGTGTCTAAACATATACACCTTTTAATCTCAAGCTAATAAAGGTTCCTTTAACAGTAAATGAAGAGAACATGCCCTGAAGTCAGAGGTGGTATTAATGTTATTACTCAAGTAGAAGTACACTGGAAAAAATCTAAATCTAGATCAGTTAGTTTTTCTTTAAATAAGTACATTTGTTCTTGGATTGAGGAGGTGAAACAGACATTTTCCCAATGGAACAAGGCAAATTTAATTTAAAATATGAAAACACAATTGCATTGTCTTATTTCAAGTGCATTTTATCTAAATATCTTATTTTAAGACACAAAAATACTAATTCCATTGGCAAACTATCTTATTTACCAACTCAAATTAAGGGGAAATACACTTAATTTAAGACATTTTTATTTATTTCTAGATCATTTTTCCAGTGTTTAAATCCTACTGCTTTAAAATAAGTTAAAATAAAAATTAAAAATGAATTTACAATTAAATAAAAAATGTTAAGGACAGAAGTTTTACTGCTCTACTCTATTAAAGGAACATATTTCTACAATTCTGCTTGATAACCTCCTTTGACTTCATTTTCTTAGTTTTATAAGTGATTGTAACAGTGTCACATTTAACTTTGCATCATCTTGAAAAACTATTTATTTTGGTATGTGGTGAGCAACACGTTGGGGCAGCACCAAGTCCAACCACAAAGACTTTATTTGTCTGGATGAAAAAAATTATTCGGAAGTTTTTTGTTTTAATCTTTTTAATACCAACAGGCCATAATGAAAATGAGCTGAAATTAAACAAAACTAAGAAGTCTATTTTTGAAATGTAAGTAGAAGTAATAATTACTCAAGTAAAGTATAGATTACCAAAATTTCTGCTTAAGTAAGATAACAAAGTATTTGTACTTGGTAACTTGACACCTTTCAATAATCAAAATAACACCATTCCTCTTTCACTTCATTAAACCTTTAATTTAATTTACTGTAAAATAAATTTAGTTCTTTTTAGACTAAAAACTGCAGGAAAGATTAATCTGAATCTAAAAAATACAGAATGTAGAATCCCTACTTTTAGGACAGCTTTAAGATTTAATAGACAGTAAATAAATCTCTGAAATAATGCAATTTCAAACGGAATAATTTTTCAATCTACACAGAATTATATTTTTTCGCTACAACAATTTTCATGTTTGAAAGAGGTATTGTTTAGCAGGTCAAAGACTTTAGAGGTTGTTTTTTATTTTCTGATCACATCCTGAAAGTAATGGATTCAACAACAACATACCATCAGGGGGATTTCCTTTCTGTTTTCTTGCTATTCATAGGACAAAAAATTATGTACTGTATACTCAGATGTGGGGAAATTTAACCAAAACAATCATTCCTTTTCCAAAAAGGAACATCAGACCAAGCGTGGCCTGCAGCAATGGACATTGCAGCAGGTTCCTTCATTGTAACAGTGAAATTCTGACTTTTTATTTTACTTTTTGTATGTTTATGTTGACTTTTGCATGTGCACTGCAATGGATGAATTAGTTTAACACTAGACTAGACAAAGACTGAAAGTATTATCTTTAAGAATAATGAGATCAATCAATTATTGTATGTATTTAGTCTTGAGTAAAACAAAATGTCCACAAATGGAAAAAAAAGTTTTGTCTACTGCTTTTCACTTGGAAAACTGAAAGCTGCAGCAGGTGTTACGGCTATTTTTAGCTGGATTTTGTACAGGTGAAGTGGACTCACCTGGGGCGTCTATGAAGTGGATGATAGGCTAGCAGGGGTAAATCAGATGATCAGTCCCTGCAGCTCTAAAACTGAGGAGTTATTTTGGTTGCGTTGCACTTTTTCACAGTTGACGCCTTTTATGACATATGCATCTCTCATAACAGCATCAATACTCTAGTCTGAATAGTTTGAGCATCGGCTCGCTAAAGCTATAGGTCAGTAGCAGCTATCCTTACCGGGAATAATACATTCTGGAAGGAATGTAAGATAATATAGAAAACTGTGATATTCCATGCAGGGGCGGATTTAGAAAATTTGGGGCCCTAGGCAAAGACAGACAGGGGGCCCTCTGAATGGAGAAGGCAACACATAAAACAGCCCCATTCTACAGATAGAGAAATGTTAATAGAATAGACATCCATTATCTGTTCTAGGTTGTGTCCCTCTCTTCTTGTCCCTTTTCTTCTTGTTTTCCTCTCTATGTTTTGTACTCAGCTGACTTTTCCTGCTGTCTCTAAAGGAATTATTTTTTTTCCCAAGCACTAAAGCTGTGTTCACACCAAGCAGGAGCAGCAGGAGCAGCTAGTTTCCGTGCAAAGTCAATGGTTTATGCGCGTCAAGGCGCAGCAAAATGTCCCGCAGCGCGTTTTGAGCATTTAAGCATCTGACGCGTGCAACGCGCCGCAAACACAGCTGCTGCTCGAGGTGAAAAAATCGAACTTTTGCTGCTCGATGCGCCACATCAACCAATCCGAGAAGCTAACCTGGGAGCTGGCAGGTAGACAGACATTTCACTGATGATACAGATCACTATGATCACTGGTTATTTATCCTAAAGCCATTCAAAGGTCCTTCGATTAGATGGTAATAGTAACTATCAGATTCAAAAGGAGAGTTTCATGCTCAGATTGGCTGAGAGCAGGAATCCCTGGTGCCACCCATGTTTTTTATGACCTATTAGAGAAGGTAGGGTTTAATGGTGGAGAATGGGCCGGCCTGTCCTGATGTGACTTAGCGACTGGTAACTCAGGATGGAGTGGTCACTATTAGGTGGGGATGGCAGCAGATCAAATGACCTTATTAGAATATAGGCCTAGGTTAGCTAGTCTAATGTAAATTAATATATAGGGAACTACAACAGCCTTTATTTAATTAGACCAACCCCAAATTGTAGATAAATGTTGAAACTGTGATCTTGGGTGTGATCTTCTGATTACATCACCAGGGGGACTGTTGATGGCTTATTCCATGATTCTATGATGTTGTGAGATTTTTGATGCAGTGCCTAAAGTTTTTCCTTCCAATCTGTTATCCTGTTCATGAAACTATAGAAATGGGTTTTTGGACATAAGATTGTTTTTTGAAGGTGTTTTTAAAACTGTGAAAATGTTACCTAATCGGGGGAAGTTGTAAAGAATATTTTTATGATTCATGTATGTGCTTATTAAACTCTAAATTTCTTCCCTGTCAAGGCTAAAGCTTCACAATGGTACCGTTATATCCGTGAAACCTACCTGGTCTGTTAAAAAATGGTGCCATGTTTTCTAGATATTTAATACTTAAACCTTACAAAGTTTTCTTTAAAGCGTTTGTACCAAGTAGTCTCTTCTCATGAAAGAATCAGAGAGAAAAAGCTTAAAGATGTAAACAAAGAGCTTTTCCTTTCCAGAGTGAAATACATGAAAAATACTGATTTACCTACATTATAGCGTGAATCAAATCTTGTAAAATGCATTGTAAATATGTGAATTAGAGACTTCTGGAAAAGCAATCTTTTGTAAAAAAACAAAGGTGTTATTTTTTAGACCTAAAACCTATTTATATGGAAATTAAAATTTTCATAAAAATTGATTTAAAGTCATGAAAAATATTCAATGTTTAAACCTCTTACAGATCTTTTGTATCAATCTACCTTAGAAACATGATCTTTAAAAAAATGTCATACAGCATTACAAATTGTTATTTTTTAAATAGAGCATTTTTTACTGACACTTGGCTGAGCTCAGTACTTAATAAGTACTAATTAGACATGATCATAAATCAGCTAGGATGAAGAATAGCAGATTTATAGCGGTAACTCCTGAATGTTTAATTTTAGCTCTTCCTGAGGCCTTTTAACCCATATGGTCACGTTTCTAATCAACAGAAGCCTAATAATTCAGATTAGAAAAATGATCAATAAATTAATGCATATTTTAAAGTTCAACCCTTCTCCTTTTGTCCAAGCTGCCAATCACTGCTTCAGTTCCCCAGAGAGGTTTATTGATTGATCTGGACAAATAGTCACAAAGGGGCAACTGGATTCTATCATAAAACCAAAGGGATTGAATTGGATTACAATTTTGGTAGGATTGTTGCTCTTAGTTAGTTGCTCTGTCAGCTAAAAGTACGTTTAGAGTCTTCATAATTCAGTTTATTATTAATCGATTACAAAATTAGTTGACGATTTTTTTCCAGTAATCTATTAATCTCGATTAGATCCGATGAATTTTTTCAGCCTTACTGGCGGAATAATATTAAATAAGTTTATGATGATGATATGCATTGTCACAGAAACTAACTGATCGGTCTCCTGGACCAATTTCAGTTTTTATTTTTAGTTTCACTAATAATTGTTTTAAAACTAATAAGTTTCAGGTTTAGTTTTAGCTGCATTAAAATCATGGTTCTCATCTGCTAGATCAGGGTCTCAAACCTGCAGCCTCAGAACAGCAAGTGTCTCTTGGTTGCCACCTATTAATATTTTTTTTCTAGATCCGCCATTGCTTTGATTGACAATTCTTTTCTAGATAACACAAAAAGAAGCAGACTTTTGGAATTGCTAAGAATCTCTTCATGGTCTCACCTTGCACCACCAGGCGTCCCAGTGCTGTCCGTCTCATTCTGGTGCCAGGCCGATTGGCAGCACACACATACACACCAGAGTGCTGCAGGGAAACATCTGAGATCATCAGGTTACCCGTCCCGAGGACCTGTATACCCTCCACTCCAATAGAACGTCCATCTGATGGTGAAACAGACATGAGGGGAAATTAGATTTATAAAACGTAGCTTAGTTTAACCTCTCTGGAAGCCGTGTCTACCTAGCCTGCTCCAGGACACAATTGGCCGAGGATTTCCTGTGGCGATGCACTCCAAGATGGCCGTCTGATGGACAGTGAGGGTAAGATTCTGTGGCCCAGACAGGATGACTGGCTCCTTATAGGTTCTAGGAGCTCCACCTTTTTGGTAAGAAAGAACCAGAAGCAAATATGCATGAGACATGAACAATAAGAAAAAAACGGGACAAAAAAACTGTATAATCCATAATATATGTCAAGGGTCTCAAACGCTGGTCCTCAAGATCTACTGTCCTAGAGTTTTTAGATACATCCCTGCTTGAACTCTGCTGAATCAAGCGAATGGCTCTTGACTGGACGCTTTGCCAAACTTGATGGCATGCTGACGAGGGGATTCAATAATTTGTATGTTGAACATTCTGCAATCATACTGCTGCATTATCAAAGTATTGTGACAAATTCAATAGAACGTTAATCAAATTAAATGTACAGGTGCTGGTCATAAAATTAGAATATCATGAAAAAGTAGATTGATTTCAGTAATTCCATTTAAAAAGTGAAACTTGTATATTATATTCATACATTACATACAAACTCATATATTTCAGATGTTTATTTTGTTTAATTTTGATGATTACAAATGACAACAAATGAAAATCTCAAATTCATCATATCAGAAAATTAGAATATTGTGAAAAGGTTCAAAATTGATGGCCCCTGGTGCCACACTCTAATCAGCTAATTAACTCAAACCACCTGCAAAAGCCTTTAAATGGTCTTTCAGTCTAGTTCTATAGGCTACACAATCATGGGGAAGACTGCTGACTTGACAGTTGTCCAAAAGACGACCATCGACACCTTGCACAAGGAGGGCAAGACACAAAAGGTCATCGCTAAAGAGGCTGGCTGTTCACAGAGCTCAGTGTCCAAGCACATTAATAGAGAGGCGAAGGGAAGGAAAAGATGTGGTCGAAAAAAGTGTACAAGCAAGAGAGATAACCGCACCCTGGAGAGGATTGTGAAACAAAACCCATTCAAAAATGTGGGGGAGATTCACAAAGAGTGGACTGCAGCTGGAGTGAGTGCTTCAAGAACCACCACACACAGACGTATGAAAGACATGGGTTTCTGCTGTCGCATTCCTTGTGTCAAGCCACTCTTGAACCACAGACAGCGTCAGAAGCGTCTTGCCTGGGCTAAAGAGAAACAGGACTGGACTGCTAGTGAGTGGTCCAAAGTCATGTTCTCTGATTAAAGTAAATTTTGCATTTCCTTTGGAAATCAAGGTCCCAGAGTCTGGAGGAAAAGAAGAGAGGCACTTCATCCACGTTGCTTGAAGTCCAGTGTAAAGTTTCCACAGTCAGTGATGGTTTGGGGTGCCATGTCATCTGCTGGTGTTGGTCCATTGTGTTTTCTGAGGTCCAGGGTCAACGCAGCCACATACCAGGAAGTTTTAGAGCACTTCATGCTTCCTGCAGCTGACCAACTTTTTGGAGATGGAGATTTCATTTTCCAACAGGACTTGGCACCTGCACACAGTGCCAAAGCTACCAGTACCTGGTTGAAGGACCATGGTATCCCTGTTCTTAATTGGCCAGCAAACTCTCCTGACCTTAACCCCATAGAAAATCTATGGGGTATTGTGAAGAAGAAGATGCAATACACCAGACCCAACAATTCAGAAGAGCTAAAAGCCACTATTAGAGCAACCTGGGCTATCATAACACCTGAGCAGTGCCACAGACTGATCGACTCCATGCCACGCCGCATTGCTGCAGTAATACAGGCCAAAGGAGGCCCAACTAAATACTGAGTGCTGTACATGCTCATACTTTTCATGTTCATACTTTTCAGTTGGCCAACATTTCTATAAATCCTTTGTTTTTATTGGTCTTCAGTAATATTCTAATTTTCTGATATGATGAATTTGAGATTTTCATTTGTTGTCATTTGTAATCATCAAAATTAAACAAAATAAACATCTGAAATATATGAGTTTGTATGTAATGTATGAATATAATATACAAGTTTCACTTTTTAAATGGAATTACTGAAATCAATCTACTTTTTCATGATATTCTAATTTTATGACCAGCACCTGTAAATGGGTCAATGGCAGGCTTATACTGGGGAAAGGGCTTCAGTGATAACTCAGTTATTTTCATTGGGATGACTGAAAGTAGAGACACATAAAAATATGGGACCTGAATTGCTAAAAAGTAAGTTGAGATGAACTGTAAAACCTAAAAAAACAACAACAGTGTTTCTATTGAAAAGTCTGTTAAGTCTGCAGAAAAAGCTTTGGGACTTCTTCAGTTTGTTCTTCTAAAATACTGTTTTGTTAGCAAGCTAGCTTGGTGCTAGCTAAATATGTAGCCAATATCCAAATTCAGTTGCCGAAAATCTAAAGTGAACTACCAAAGTAAAAGCCTGGGAATCTCTAAACAACTCCTATGTCATCTTCGTCAGACTGACAGAAAAAAAAAAGTTAGTTTATGAAAATCACATAATTCATTCCAAAATGGAAGGTCCTCTTTGTTTTCTGGTTTTATTTGAACGTATACATTTTTTTTAAGGAATGGGCAAATGTTGAATGTTATGTTAACCTGCGCCACAGAGCTGCAGCCACGCACATGAGGCTTCACTATGTTGCCATGGCAACAAATGCTTTCCTTTCTGCTGGGCTGGAGGGAAGAAGCCATCACATTCTCGCTAAATAAATGAATAAATAACCATAAATATTGCTTGTTATTTCTGACTGCTAGACTTTACAAACGGTGCCCCAGAGATCTACATTATAATTACTGAGATAGTATTATTGATTATATTGGTAATCAAATAATGAATCACTGTTAACTATAAAACCGGCTGCGTTTGCTCCCACTGATTCTTGTCTTCCCAACATAAACAGCATGAGGTGTTTACCTACCAGTGACATTGAGTGTGGCCTCATGGCTGTAGCGAGTGTTGGCAATGTTGGTGGCAACGCAGCGAAAAATCCCAGAGTCTGTCCTCCTCACACCTGTTATTTGCAGGATTCCCATTGGAAGAAGAGTGTACCTGCACAAGGAACCAGAAAACAAAATCCACATCAGACCTGAACGTTACAACACATTCACTTCAGGAAGGTTGATTTAAAAGAACAACCCAAACATTTTTAAAGCGCCGGATGAAAATATACCTGATATTAAAATGAAAATCCAGTATTTACCATTTCCTTCCTTTTTTTACCGTTAAAGCACATATAAAAGTAGCAGGATAATCTTTTTTTTTTAGTAATTAGTCTGTTTATTGAACCTCGGTTTATAATATTATCACTTTCCTGTAGGAGATTTAATGTTACAGCCTATGTAGAGGTGGATGAATGTACCTGCTGTCAGACGTGTTCAGAGGTCGTCTGTCCTTTTCCCAGGTTATGGTGGCCTCAGGAACGCCATTTATTTGACACTGGAAACGAGCAACTCCTCCTTCATCCACAAACATGGATACTGGATGGGTGTGGAACTTTGGTAGAGCTTAAAAACATGACAACATTAATTAGCGAGTTCATGATTCTCCATCAGTGGTAAATGAATGTCTATGGTAAACAGACTGATTTCCTTTTAAGAATATTTGGCTTATTCATTTGAGGACTCAGATTTCTGTGTCTTAACTTTTTAATAAAAACTCTTGGACAAGAAAACATACATGTCTGGCTACATTTTATGTCCGACTGTCATTTCCTGACTTCACAGACTGTATGTCTACAGAGGCACCTTCTCACCCGCAGTCAGACCCTCTAATAACATGGCCGCAACAATCAATAGAACAGGAGGCTCCAAGGCCCCTCTCTGAGAAACTCATTTCTTCTTCTTAAAGACCATGAAATCAAACTTTTGCTAAATCTAGAACAGGTAGAAACGTCTAAATAAATCCTGACACCTCCAGGAGATCTTCATCTTAAACAGAAAACTAACAAGTGCAACATTTACGACAAATACCTGCATTAAAAAACACATTACAAATCTCTGTTCTTGAACAAAATGTTACACTTTAATTAAAGGAACCACATCGTCCTACTTGATTATGTTGCTTAGTCCTTTTTATATGATGGATACACAAAAACAAGCTGGATTTAGGAGTCAGCAGGAGTATTACTCTGTTTTGCATATAAATTGATAAATTTAGGTCCTGGGATTGGTATGTGAGCAAATGCTTTACCAATTCTAGATGCCCCGATTCTGTCCTGTTTAGAATCAGCAATCAACCTAACAAAGGTATTTTTGACTGTGGGAGTACCCAGAGATAAACCATGCATTAACAATGAGAACATGAAAACTCCATGTAGAAGACCACAGGCTAGTATTTGTACTCAGGACCTTCTTGCTGCAAGGTGACAATTCTACAAACTCCTCCATGCAGCCCTTTATTCAAAGTGATGTAATCATTTTGGAAAACAACTGTAGAGACTGTAACACTGCTGCCCTGTATTCAATCTACTGATGTAGGATGATGCTGTATCACCATATGTACCCAATTTAAAGGGATGTTTCAGGTAACATCAATAGATAATGGAAAACCAGTCAACAGTACAGAGCATTCAAAAGAACAAGACTAGAAAGGGTTCTATGGCTGGTTCATCCATCCATCCATCCATCCATCATCCATCCATCCATCCATCCATCATCCATCCATCCATCATCCATCCATCCATCCATCATCCATCCATCCATCATCCATCCATCCATCCATCCACCCATCCATCATCCATCCATCCATCCATCCATCCATCCATCCATCCATCCATCCATCCATCCATCATCCATCCATCCATCCACCCATCCATCCATCCATCATCCATCCATCCATCCACCCATCCATCCATCCGTCCATCCATCCATCCATCATCCATCCATCCATCCATCCATCCATCCATCATCCATCCATCCATCCATCATCCATCCATCCATCATCCATCCATCATCCATCCATCCATCCATCCATCCATCATCCATCCATCCATCCATCCACCCATCCATCCATCATCCATCCATCCATCCACCCATCCATCCATCCGTCCATCCATCCATCCATCATCCATCCATCCGTCCATCCATCCCTCCATCCATCCATCCATCATCCATCCATCATCCATTTATTCATCCATCCATCCATCTATCCATCCGTCCTTCCATCCATCCATCCATCCATCCATCCGTCCTTCCATCCATCCATCCATCCATCCATCCTTCCATCCATCCATCCATCCGTCCTTCCATCCATCCATCATCCATCCATCCATCCATCCACCCATCCATCCATCATCCATCCATCCATCCATCCACCCATCCATCCATCCGTCCATCCATCCATCCATCCATCATCCATCCATCCGTCCATCCATCCATCCATCCATCCATCATCCATCCATCATCCATCCATCCATCCATCCACCCATCCATCATCCATCCATCCATCCATCCACCCATCCATCCATCATCCATCCATCCATCCATCCACCCATCCATCCATCCGTCCATCCATCCATCCATCATCCATCCATCCGTCCATCCATCCATCCATCCATCATCCATTTATTCATCCATCCATCCATCTATCCATCCGTCCTTCCATCCATCCATCCATCCATCCATCCATCCATCCATCCATCCATCATCCATCCATCCATCATCCATCCATCCATCCATCCATCCATCCATCCATCCATCCTTCCATCCATCCATCCATCCATCCGTCCTTCCATCCATCCATCCATCATCCATCCATCCATCCTTCCATCCATCCATCCATCCATCCATCCATCCGTCCATCCATCCATCATCCATCCATCCATCCATCCATCCATCCATCCATCCGTCCATCCATCCATCTATCATCCATCCATCCATCCATCCATCCATCCATCCATCATCCATCCATCCATCCGTCCATCCATCCATCCATCATCCATCCATCCATCCATCCATCCATCATCCATCCATCATCCATTTATTCATCCATCCATCCATCTATCCATCCGTCCTTCCATCTATCCATCCATCCATCCATCCATCCATCCATCCGTCCTTCCATCCATCCATTCATCCATCCATCCATCCATCATCATCCATCCATCCATCCATCCATCATCCATCCATCCATCCTTACATCCATCCATCCGTCCTTCCATCCATCCATCCATCCATCCATCATCATCCATCCATCCATCCATCCATCCATCATCCATCCATCCATCCTTCCATCCATCCATCCGTCCTTCCATCCATCCATCCATCCATCATCCATCCATCCATCCTTCCATCCATCCATCCATCCATCCATCCATCCATCATCCATCCATCCATCCATCATCCATCCATCGATCCATCCACCCATCCATCCATCATCCATCCATCCATCCATCCATCCATCCATCCACCCATCCATCCATCCGTCCGTCCATCCATCCATCCATCATCCATCCATCCGTCCATCCATCCATCCATCCATCCATCATCCATCCATCATCCATTTATTCATCCATCCATCCATCTATCCATCCGTCCTTCCATCCATCCATCCATCCATCCATCCGTCCTTCCATCCATCCATCCATCCATCATCCATCCATCCATCATCCATCCATCCATCCATCCATCCATCCGTCCTTCCATCCTTCCATCCATCCATCCATCCATCCTTCCATCCATCCATCCGTCCGTCCTTCCATCCATCCATCCATCCATCATTCATCCATCCATCCTTCCATCCATCCATCCATCCATCCGTCCATCTATCCATCCATCCATCCATCCATCCATCCGTCCATCCATCCATCCATCTATCATCCATCCATCCATCCATCCGTCCGTCCATCCATCCATCCATCCATCATCCATCCATCCGTCCATCCATCCATCCATCCATCATCCATCCATCCATCCATCCATCCATCCATCCATCCATCCATCCATCATCCATCCATCATCCATTTATTCATCCATCCATCCATCTATCCATCCGTCCTTC